ATTTACCAATCTTCTTCTCTTACCCTGAATTTCTTCGATTGACAAATAGCTTCAGCGCCAGAGCTGTAGACTTACTGCTGTGCTCGGCTGTGTCATTGTGATCATCTAAAGTTATATCCATCTTCTGTGTCAAGCCTAAGACAGGAAATGGAGTTAAGCGGGCTGGCATTGTAGAATCGCAGCTCTCTACGGACTGTCTTTTACCAGGCCCCTTAGTATAGAATCATTCTATGTAGTGTAAATCTAGCCTACATGAAAAAGTCACAACCGAAATTTACAGCCATTTCACCCCCTTCTTCACTTAAGACCCCTTTTCATTGGCAATTTGTATTTTCTGATCCTTCGGAATGACCTAATCTGGTTCAGCCAATGAACATAAAGCCATTCATTACACTTTACGTAATAGCCTGGCTGTATATCGCCCGCACAGTACATATGATGAGCTGGATCTAACCTATGTCAGCTCTCCCATAATGTAAGCTTAGATGATGGAAAATCATCTCAAGTGCAATGTCCCATTTTCTTGAAATCGCACCAAAAATAGCGACTCCTAGCAAAATAGCACCCATGTTTGATAAATGGGTCAAGATAAAATGCAGCTTCTTCCGGCCCTGCGTGGCGCTTTTTACTAAGCACAGGCACCAAGCCATTTCACTGTGATGATCCAGGAAAAGTAGGAAGGGAGTGGTGAAATGAATATCACCCAGCGAGAATATTCCAATAAATGTAAATATTATTTTCAAGACCGTTGATGTCAAAGCATAGATTCTGAATACGACACGCGTCGTTCGACTTGTGAATGGATTATTGAGCTGCTGGAGGTCGATACGGAGAAACTAGGCCAGAATTAGCGTAGAACTGGCTTTCTCAAGCTATAACGAACATTTTGCATAGAAGGAATTGTTGAAAGAATTCCAAGGAGAATTTGAATCCATATCGATTTCTTCTCGCTCCAGAAAAGCCCTGTCGATACAGCGGACAGGAGAAAGGATAAGATGTATAGGGCCAAGTCCGTCTTATGAAATGGCCAATCATCTCCGAACACCCATAAGAGGAGCAGCAATAGAAGCATTGTAATTAGCAGTGTTTGGAAATATATTTCGCAAGTCATGACAAAAGACATTGAAACAACGTGTCACGGTGAGAAGAGGGTCCCGATTGCGAAATAAAGATCGTTAAATACGGCGACGCTTAGTTCAAAGCCAGGGGAGCCTTAGTGTATCCAAGGAGGAGGAGAGTCGTCATTCACCGGGTTTGAGCTCGCGCAATGAACTACTCACACCAAGTTCCTGGGAACTCTGCTAAAAATGTGTCGAGGACTGGCATTCAGTATACACGATTTGTGCAGAGTCAAGTCCCACATGGCTCATCAGTGCTTCCCTGAACAAGAAGAAGCTAAATATTTTTCTGTTGCCTCGCGCTAAGTCTTGCGTCTATGATCAGCTTGTGGTTTCCTACTTTTGGCGGTTAATGCTTCGAAAAAACCATCCGCATCTACAGCTACATTAGCCCATGACAGCTTCATTCCTGGGAGCCAATTGCTTGCTCTGCGGAATCGATCTCTTCTGGGAACTACAGCGATCCATATTATAATTGGATGAGCTTCAAGTAAAGCTGAAAATCGGAGCAGACCAACTATGGGAGCTCATACGTGAAAATATGTGAATGCAGATCAAATATTCTCAAGGTCAAAGATGCTCGGAATAAAATCTCACTATAAATATCGCCTTGAATGTCTTTGTGCTTAATCAATTGTCGCATGATACAGCAAAGAGATCTCCTTTATTGAGATACAAATCATCTAGCGAAAATATAGCGCAATAATCTCATCCTTTTCGAAAACATGGCGCGCCCCCCACCTTTCGTTCGTGAGTCACCTCCACTTATTCAAGCATAAGTAAGACCAAAGGCAGCTAATCCGTCTGATGAGATCAGCGCTTCCAAAACCCTCTTGTCTTGTTGGTCTATTGCCATGCGGCAAGCCTCTAGATGTCTCTTACCCCAAACAATGGGCACAAGCCGCCCTGTCCTTTGCTCTCATGCAAGGAGAACTACCAACCGTCCGAAAGCTACTTCGTCGATATGATAATGATATCAATGGTCAAAGTCCAAAATCTCAGCCTCCACTCCTGATAGCCCTCGAATATCAACAACATGAGATCTTGAGGATGCTTCTGAAAGACCCGCAACTCAATATCAACATTCAAAATGACCGAGGGTACACCGCACTTCATCTGGCTGTGATATACGACGACCCGGTCGCAATAGAAATCCTGTTGAGTCACAAACACATCGACGTCAACATTCTCGATCCCCAGGGAGAAGCGCACTCCTTCTAGCTACCATGGCATACGACGGCCTGGACCCCGTAAGGAATAATATCATAGATCTTCTACTTTTGAATCGGAAGACTATCGTGAATGAGCGAGACCAGAGGGGCCGCTCGGTACTGTGGCACGCAGCAAACACTGGCAACAAAAGACTGATCCTTCAACTGGCTCAGCTGCCGGATCTAGAGTCCGAAATTCCCGACAATGATGGTGTTTCTCCCGTGGATCAAGCTAGGAAAAGGGGAGCATTGAGATAGTTACGCTTCTGCAGTGCCTTGCTGCACGTGATGGCCCAGAGCGGGATCTCTAGGCATGCCATACGATAGCCTGATAATCGCAAGATGGGAATGTAGTGATAAAGGTCCAGGTCGTTCAAACCGGCAATAAAACAATTTCGGGATTTTTAGCCGACTTTCAAATTTTGGCAGCTATTTAAAAATACCTATGATAAATGCCTATAGCTGCCCGATACCAGCTTTGGCGCCGTCTAGACTATCAGTCTTGCCATTAGTGTCGACATCATACGACATAATCAAGTTTGACTGGCTTTGCACACTCCCACGAGCATCATTGATAAGGAGTTTGAGCACCTGAATATGCGGGAGAACCGATTGAACAAAGAATTATGAATTACCTCGATAAAACACACAACGAGATCCAACTCAGGGGCATATTTAACCCCAGAGGCCCGTATAAGAAGTCACTGATTCATTATGCCGCGATGGGAGACTGCACCGCGCTTCTTCACTGGACGTCCGTGCTATCGTCAACGATCTTGATCATAATAAACGAATACCTCTCTCTTGGGCCGCAGAGTATGGCTCGCTTGGCGCCACCAGAATTCTGCTGAAGAACGGTGCCAAAGTTAATTCTCTGGATGACATGTATTGCTCGCCGCTTACATCGTTGATCCATGCTGGTAGTCCCCAATACAAGGGTCGCGAAGCTACCAGATCATACCTCGAAGAGAACGGGGCCACTACGAAGGGTGCAAAGCGCGCATGGATACTTGATAAATTGCGACTCCTCTGAGGACGAGAATGGGGCTGTGCTCGTAGTCTATAAAAATCTTGTACTGTATTGATTCTCGAAGAAGATGAAATTTGAAAGAAGAACTGGGATTTATCTTGCCAGTGCCTCATGGCCATCAAATAGAGCGTTATTCACGACGCAAATAATAATCTTTTGATATCCGTGTCCAGATCACTGGTGCATCTTGCACTGCTCCAGCTCTCCCATTGCCTTATTGTACTCATGATACAAGTCCATGAATAACTGCGCAGACGTTCGAGTTCAGAAATGAGATTCCGTTCACGATTTTCAAGTAGCGATATCTGCTCCTCAATTTCGCAAAATAAAAGATAGAAGCGTGTTTTTGCTTGGTGTGGTCTTGGATTTTCAAGAAGAGCTATTCAGAATTAGTAGGAATATTTTATTGTGCACAGTAGACTCACGGTAGCGCCTGGAACGGCAATCAGCGGCGAGGGCCGTGGATGAGACATATCTGTCGGGGGTCATTTCGCAGACTAACTTTGCGGGTGTATGCCAGTCGAGAGTCCGATGGGATATTATGGTAGTAGATATGACTGCACGTTGAATACTTATACCCTGGCTGAGGAGGGATGCCGTGATTCGGCATGCCTCCAATCCTATTACCAGGATCTAAGTCGCGCTTCCTCGAGCCACGAGCCCGTTCCTAGAGCTGTGAAGAATCAAAAAGACGCATTTGTAAGATGAATGATGTGACGGAGCAGGGAAAATATATCTTTCTGTTTATGTGCCCTCGAGCTATGAGTGGCCCTCCTATGAAGTTAGACGGGGTGGAATCCACACTTTTGTATATTCCGAGACTAAAAATGTAGAGGCAGACTGCACTTTTTCGGTCTAAAGTCATAAAAAATATTCTATTCCAACCATTGCTACACTGCTACAAATAGAGATGAGTGAGATATTTTTGGCCCGTACGGGGCACCTGCAGTCTGAACATGGTGATGTAGGGCTCCTTGGCAGAAGGCTACAGCGCCGTAAGGGCTGCAGGCGGGCCCGTAGCACTCCGTATATTCTTAGGAGGAAGCAAAGCTATGCGGAAGCATACTTAGTACATAAATGAGGGGGTCTGCGGTGGGCGGGAAGAAAACCGTTGCGAAGAGAGCGCAACTCCCCCTCGAAAATGCGATATTCCTTTCGAAGGAGAGGATATACGAGCGATATCTGTGTGCGATCATAAGCACGGAATATCGTGGACCCGACGCAAGGGGGGGGGGCCCTCTCCGCAACAATCTCGAATAGAACATATCATCTTTCACCGAGCAGGCGGTTCCATGGCTCATCGAAAACTCATTTGTCGAAAATGTTTGGAGGTTGACTCCTGATCGACGGTCCTTGTGAGTAATGGTTCCCCGGTATTTGTGAAGCTAATTGACCCCCATGACTTGAGTCAAAGGGTCCTGCCATTCTTGTTTGGTAGGAAAATAATTGTGCATCACGCCAAAGATTTGTAGCGCGTGCATCGAAAATCAATCGCAAGCCTCAGCCTCGACACTAGAGATCACTTTGCTTCCGACCCGCCCATCCAATTTGATTTAGTTCCCCCACCGCCTTCATAAGCAATACTGCACGCGTCTAATTTGCGTTCACTGATCATCTCTTGCTTGATTGCGACCCTCCAGAATGTCAGCCTTACAGTTCAGAGGGAATCCAAACTACCGTGGATCGCGTCCGAATCCATCAACTCCCACTGCAGACCGACCGCTGCTATCTAGAAAGAGTGATAGCACACCGGAAAAACTCCAAGGTGAAACCAAGACCAAACCTCCACGCAAGTTCGCCTCCTTGCTGGCTTCGAGCAATAGCGAAGAAACCAAAAGGGACACGTCCGATGATGCCTCCGACACTGAGCGACCACACAAGAAGCGCATAATGAGTGTTGATGAATCCCAAGACCCTACACCAATTTCAAACCCTTGCCCCTCTGTTCCGAGATGGTCCAACCCGGATCCTTACACTGCGATACCCTTACGAAGCAAACAAACGAATCAAAGGCTCGATGTTGTCAAGCTGATTCACAAACCAAGACTTGGCGATAAAGCGAAGGCAGCTGAGACAGATGAACTCAGGGAGAACTTGGATTTCGTTTCCCTCAGCATGATATCAGAATCAGAGCATCAGAGCAACGCTCCCGAGAACGCCTCCGATATCGCCCTCAAAGGGCCAACAAGCCAGGAAAATGTGTACTCTGCCGACCCGAGTCGAAAGCGAACCCGGAGGGGTGCGATCAAACGCCACGTTAGGAAGACCGGCAAGCCTACAAGCAAGTACAACTGCGACGGTTCAGTTATCAAGGAGTGGAGACCACCGTCCCAAGAGACGGGTACGCCTTGGTTTGAGTCCACTCCGTCTTCCTTGCACATAGAATCTCAGTCTGTACTTCCCTGTCCTCTCGATCGCTATTGAGTCTTTCCTTTTCTAAACCCGCACTAGGTTAGATCGCGAGATTCTCAGCTTTTATGACTGGGCCAAGCCACAGGAATTTGGAAACGTTGTCCGTAGAGATCTCGTCGAGCGATTGAAGATTGCATTTCAAAGTCGATACGCTGGCACTGAAATTCATGCTTTTGGCTCTTCTGCCTCTGGTATCTACCTGCCTACCGCGGATATTGATCTGGTACTACTGTCCGACAATTTCAGACGCACAGGAGTGCGTTCATTTGGTGAGAGGAAAGGAAAAATAAACGCCATTTCGGGCTTCCTGGAAAGTACCAATATTGCTGTTCCTGATTCGATCGAGTGCGTTACCCATGCTCGGGTCCCGATCCTGAAGTTCGTGGACCGGCTGACTGGGCTGCGTGTTGATATGTCCTTTGACAACAACAGTGGGTTGATGGCCAACGAGACATTTCAAACATGGAAGGAGCAGTTCCCCATAATGCCCGTTATTCTGTCAGTGGTCAAGCAGTTTTTGCTGATCCGTGGCCTCAACGAAGTCCGGACTGGTGGACTGGGAGGCTTCTCCGTCACTTGCTTGGTCACAAGTCTACTCCAGCATCTGCCCAAAGGACATATGCAGCTCAACCCGGGCAGCATTCTCATGGAATTTTTCAATTTCTACGGAAACAAGTTTCAATACAATCAAGCGGCAATCTGTTTGGATCCTCCGGGATATTTCAGCAAGGTGGGATAGGTTCAAATGGTCCACTTATGCACTATCTGACTCATGAAACACAACAGAAATCATTTGGAACCCCCGATCGTCTCACTATTGAAGATCCTAACAATACGGACAACGATATCTCTGGCGGCACAAGGGCGATCGACCTGATTCTTCGCACCTTCACTAGTGCTCATACCACCCTGAAAAATCGTATGGAACACCTCGCACTCGTCCGAGGCCCGAACAAGAGCATTCTGGGGCCGATCATTGCAGCGAACTTCGAAAAATACACCGAACAGCACAATCAACTTCGTCGGGTCTTCATGACAGAAAGCAGATTCGCTGGGCACAGAGTGCCTCCACCGCCGCCGTCAGAACTTTATCATGATAGCGGAGTGCATTCCGCTCCCCCGCCGCTGCCCGCCGGGCCGCCGCCTATAAGCCCTACCCTACCCCCGGTGCAACAACCCATCAATAATGCAAGATCAAGATCCAAGGGCACGAGAGCCGAGCCAGAAGATGTTTCCGATGAATATTCTAGTGAAACGAAGCTAGTCAAACCCCGCAAAGGCCAAATAGGACGACAAGCGCGTCGGTGGCGTGCCGCAAGAATGAAATACCTCAGGCCTGATCTCAAGAATCTCCCCAGCTCCATCACTGTCAAACAGGCTCTTTGGCACGGCGGCTATGCTACCAACGGGGAAATGAAACGTGACTTGAGCTCGAGAGAACGGAGACAAGTCGCGGCCTGAGTGGTTCTCCCCTGCTTCGGACCTGACGTCCGCAACGACTTTCTCTTGGCTTTTGTTTGTACGATCATTTTGTACGATGATGTAAAACCTTCTCATGTAGTTGGCCGGCCGTGTGTTGTCAACTCTTCGCGGGTGACTACCTTTGGTGGTGGAATTCTATGCTTGCCTCCACTGGATAACAACAATCTTGCTTCAGATCAATGCCTGTTTTCCTTGCGAGTACGAGGCAGAAAGGGGTGTGGTCTGCCTGAGCCCCGCGGCGTCCCTACTCAGCCATCTTGCTGCGTCGTTTCCTGCATTACTGTACCACAGTGTCCCGGTAGCCATTGCAGGCGGAGCGCGAGTCCATTCGCCTGAGCCCCTGTCGCTGCCCGGAGGTCTCACGCTAGCGAGCGAACGCATTTCCCATCAGCCAAACAGTTCAGATGTTGAAATGTGCGTATGAATTGGGCAATTAGACCCACGAATTGAGTATTTTATGCTATGTAGGTTAAGGCAAAGAAGTCATCCAGATGGCCCACCTGAAGCATCACAACGTTAATCAGTGCTGGGAAAATGAATCGTGTTGCTATTCAACCCCCCCCCCCCCTCCCACGGTTCCGAAAAGTGGTGATGCCCTGAGTGAAGGGATTCCAATATTTTTGGAAATAGTACAGCTCGGATGGAACAAGGGCGAACTGACAGCAGAAGGGTCCAGGAGCGAGAGCCAGATATGTACTGCATCTGAACTCGAGGTCGACGTTCAGGCGCGGCAGCCACCTTTATCCGACTAAGGCAGTGTGTCTGAAACAGACAGGTCCTTTAGGCCGAAAGCACAAAATGCCTTCCTTAGTGGTCTGAGGCGGGCCCAGGAGGAGCAAGAGCAGTTAGAAAAAAGGATGGCGATCGAGCGGCTCGACGGAGATCTCCACCTGCTTCGTCATCAGTCTTCGCCTCCGTTTGGGGAGTGGACTCTGCCAACCCCTGGTTACCAGCCTGCGGAAGCAGTACACTGAGGCACCTGGCACACGCCAAAATAGATTGGTCGAACAACCACTTGCCGCCCCTCCTATCACGATGACGTGTATACCCATGTTGATGAATGCTGAACGTGTCGGCGTTTTCTACGGTTTCACCGTGCATCACCGCGCGTGTTGAATCAAGAACAACAGTGAGGCGGGCTTTTGGTTATACTCAATTACCAACAGAATGGACAAGAAGTCGTGATGTCGCCGAATACAGTCGATGATGATGATGATGATGATGATTTCATTTACCCTGACCCCTCACCTCAAAGTTGATTATAAACCTCATCCACTAGGCTGAGAACGGATTCGTTTTTGGTCTAGTTGGGTAAACCAACTGGTTATGAGCCCGGACTGCGCGACCTCTAAGCGCACAGGTTCGATTCTCACAGATTGCGTCCTTAAGCATCCAGAGCCAACAGAAGAAGCCCTATGATTGGGCCCTACAGCCAGGCAGCAGCAGAGCTTCAAGTGCACGTCCCCAGCCTTGTGTCTAAGGTTTACGGGGAGAGTTGATTATAAACCTCATCCACTAGGCTGAGAACGGATTCGTTTTTGGTCTAGTTGGGTAAACCAACTTCAACGGTGATATGCAGGCTACCTCAACTATATATGTCTCTGTTCCTACATGTAGATTGTCCCACTTCCTGACAACGAACTTAGAGCCTCGTCACGGCCTGTCGTGGCCTAATTGCCGCTTCCACTGTTAGGCTGCCCTGTTGGCGCGCGACTGCGAAACCGTTGTGACGCCTCGGCGAATTCCAATACGGCCTGGACCGTCTTCGCCCTCGAGACAGTGTCTGGTTTACCTTTCTCACTTTGTTTTGAGCCTCCCAGCAGACTCGACACGCTGTTGAACGCGTCCCCCACTTTCTGTCTCAATTCTCTTCGTAGATCCTTCAAGATTGGGCAACCTATCAGGACATGTGTCACTGTTTCTTGCGCGCCGCACAGGCACTGATCGTCCTCGCGGAAACGAAAGAGCTTAGCGTAGCTGAGTCAACAAGTATGCCTGGCCCCTGGCCAGGTTTCCGTACAACTTCCTGGTGTATGCCGACGGCAGAGTCGCCTCCCTAGTGTGCAAATATTAACTACACTACACACAACTTCTACAGGACAAACTGTACTGATCAAAGAAACACTGTTGATGTGATTATATAGCCCTTTACTTGCAGTGCGATATGGGCAAAGCCCTAATTAAATAGAAAAAACACCCATACCAAGGTATCGCTATCGACAGCAAAAACGGGGACAGATTAATCTCTCTATATGCTCCCTTGTAGCTAAAGGCTCAATAGAATTTGATTGAACACGGTTGGCCAAGTCCAGTCACTTTCAGACGCATACATGGAACTTGAGTGCTGGCAGATACAAACATTTCCCGCAGCAATTGTCAAACTTTCAAATGGATGTCAGAAAATGCCCTCTGTAAGTACCATAGTCAATGACGTAAAAACAAACATACAGATGGATTGCAGTTAGTCTATAGGCCAAGAGTCAGCAACCGTTGTTATGATATCAATGCAGGACCAGAAGACATACGCCTGCGGACGAACATTGTTGAGCTGCAGCGCCCGACGACAAGAGCAAGGAGGCACAAGCCCCAAGAACGAAGAGATAACCTTTCATTTTTTTGTGTGATGGTGACTAAGGGCAAAGGCTGAATATGGGATCATGAGCTGGTCTATTGACTTAGCGTAACAGTGAGGCAGTATTTATACCTGTGACGCGGATACAAACTCTGAGCAAATTGCTTATCCATACTGCATTACAGGTTGTAAGGGGGTGATTCTACCGTAGCAGAAACACTTCCGCCTTGACCCAATCCAATGGTCGGCCACCGTGCACAAGGTGGCTGACCCACAGAGCTCCACTGCCCCTGAGATGAGAATGAGATGAGAATGAGATGAACCTGCTGTACCGGAATTGGGCACTTTTTGCCCACACCGCAAGTGATTGTCAGGGAATTATTCATTTTCGGAAATATGTGGCGGGAATAAACTTCCTGATGAATAGTTATCATGGGTCAGCCCGAATTTGGCTCGGCATATCGGACGCTAGTTCCTGCGCCTCGATCGGGTAAGTTATTGTCATACCTGGGGGATGCCCAGGTATTGGTAACTGCACGTGACTCTAGCGCAACCTCTATCAGAAGCGGTGAAAGCCTATAATAGAGCATACGCGGAATGGCGGAGGAATCTGTGTAATTTGCATGTACCTTCCCACCTATTTTGTATGGAAAGTTACCTAATCTAAGCTAACCGTTCTCGTCTAGTCCTTCGGTATTCTGCCATACACTCCGCCTATTTCTCCTGACAACCTCTTGGTTGACCCTCGGTGGGTTGTTAGTTGAGGCCCCTCAAAGAAACAAGCGTTAAGATAATAGCTATTACAACCCATAATCATTGCCAAAACCATGACTGAAGTGGACCATGATGGTTTTTGAAAAGGGAGGAATGGTAATCGTCGTGTTAAGCCACTTCATGACGTTGCCATGAAATAGCCAAAAAAAAATCAGCAACCTTTTTTGTTCCAGGTTTTACTGGAATTCTGCCAAGCTGGACCAAGGAATGACGCCGCCCACAGAAGCAACACTAGCAGTAGAGCTCCAATGGTATAATCGAACTGAATATTTAGAGGATTACTTACTGCTCAAAAATGTTAGGAGATTGATCCTATATCTTGCGGAAACAGTGCTGCTAACTTCAGCGCAGTTGTGTCCTGTGTACGGGACTGCGAAAGCGATGTTTTAGCACCCCCGGTTAACACGGGACGGTGTGGGTGGGCAGAAAGACACAGATACCCATCGCATTAGTTCCTAGGGACAAACGGGCCCTAGGAGTGCTGTACGTTGTTCCTCGGAATGCTATCACTAGCCCCTAGGAGCCACGATATATCTCCTAGGGCACTTTTGTACCCAGGAGACATAAATGCTGCGTAGACTTCTCCATGCTCCTGGGAGGAACCTCCTTCGCCCCAGGATTACGATGTCGCTACGTTCTTAGAAAGACCACACAAAGGTTTCTAGCAGGTACAGTACCGTAGCCTACTCTCTAGGTCATGATAAGATCAAACGACTTCGAAGTGGTCCTCCTTATTTGAATTAAAAGACTAAATTTTCTACTTGTATCTGATCATCAAGTCAGTACATTGACCCCTCCTTGGTCATCTGTTTTGCCATAGGTCCGACAGAAACATAAAGGGAAGAGTTTTATTGGGGTTGCCTCAAGCTGCCACACTGCCTCACGTGATATCTACACCGACATTACGGAGGGCTCCTTCTAGCATCCCCAAGCTCTGGATTGGCCCCAGGCGAGTAGCGAGAAGGGACCATTTCCAGCACAGATTCGCTCAGTGACCCTCTGGGAGTAGATGGATTTCCATCCGATGGACTTCTTTGATCAAAGCTGTCCTGACCGAGAGCTGACTCCAGAATATCTAAATCCATAGGCTCGGGTGCAATTTCTGAATTGTCAGTCTCGCAGGAAACCAGCTGGCGTGTTGTAGTGTTGCTCCTTCGGAGAAGAGATGACCTGCCGGATGTGTCGATGTGCCGTCCAGACGTATCCAAGCCCGGCGCACCCGGCACACCGTCCTTTTCAACAAACAAGGGCGATTCCACTACCTCTTCATACCTTTGATCTGCATTCAAATAGCCACATCTTCTGTTATTGATGGGATCAGCCGTTGGCGGCTTTCCCAAAAATGCGTAAAAGACACAACGGCGAACAAAAAAGCTAGTGATGGTGTCGGCGACATCGACATCAGCATGCAATATATCTAAAAATAAAAATGGGGCATCTTGCAGATGGGTACGGTTCTGTGGTACCCCAGAGCGAGCGTGCGCCTTGAGGGTGCTGTCTGCCAAAAGGTCTCGCGAGGGACCAGGCTGGTCGGGTACAGCTTCAGTAAAACAATCTACAATTCGGCGCACCAGAACATCAAACTGCTGGTCATTGTATCTATATCGGCCTGGTTTTCGGGCCTGGAGAAGGG